TTCAGATCTCAAATTTCTCTAACCATTGCCATTTGTGACGGTTGTTCTGTCGTAAATCCACCAGAGGCCGCTGTGTACGCTTTTTGAGATCTTAAATTTCTCTAGCAAGTGCCATTCGCGACTGTTGTTCCTGCGTAAATCCACCAGAGGCTGCTGTGTACACTTTTCAGATCTCAAATTTTTTCAGCGAGTGCCATTCGCGACTGTTGTTCTCGCGTAAATCCACCAGAGGCTGCTGTGTACTTTTTCAGATCTCAAATTTCTCTAACCATTGCCATTTGTGACGGTTGTTCTTGCGTAAATCCACCAGAGGCCGCTGTGTACGCTTTTCAGATCTCAAATTTCACTCGCGAGTGCTTTTCGCGGCGGCTGTTCTAGCGTAAATCCACCAGAGGCTGCTGTGTACATTTTTAGATTTCAAATTTCTCTAGCCATTGCCATTTGTGACGGTTGTTCTCGCGTAAATCCACCAGAGGCCGCTGTGTACGCTTTTTGAGACCTCAAATTTTTCTAGCAAGTGCCATTCGCGACTGTTGTTCTCGCGTAAATCCACCAGAGGCTGCTGTGTACGCTTTTTCAGATCTCAAATTTCTTCCGCGAGTGCCATTCGCGACTGCTATTCTCATGTTAATCCACCAGAGGCTGCTGTGTACACTTTTCAGATCTCAAATTTCTTCCGCGAGTGCCATTCGCGACTGCTATTCTCATGTTAATCCACCAGAGGCTGCTGTGTACACTTTTCAGATCTCAAATTTCTTCCGCGAGTGCCATTCGCGACTGTTGTTCTCGCGTAAATCCACCAGAGGCTGCTGTGTACGCTTTTTCACATCTAAAATTTCTCTCGCGAGTGGCATTGGCGACTGCTGTTCTCATGTAAATCCACCAGTGGCTGCTGTGTACGCTTTGAGATCTCAAATTGCTCTCGTGAGTGCCATTCGTGCCTGCTGTTTTGACGTAAATCCACTAGACGCCGATGTCAATTGACTGACTGGCCGACCAATCGCCCCACCCACCACCTTCCCTAAACCCAACCGATAGTGTTTTACAAAGCAATCCAGGAAAAGAAAAGCCCTCGCGGCAGCCCGATTTTTGCCACGTTTTCAGATCTTACCACATTCTCACACTGTTATTTACTTGTTTCAAGAGTTCACACTTGCCTATATTAGCAGATTTGGCATGCTGTCCCAAGGCTCCCGCCAGGTCAATGAGCATTAGGAGGAATACGAGATCAGCTAGTTCTCGAGAGCTCCATGTAAATAGGCCGGCAATCTCACCAGTGTGTACATATTAAGTGCTTGTGACTTTTACTTGTGTCACATGTCTTTAGACTGTGGGAGGAAACCGGAGGATCCGGGGAAATCGCCCACGAACACAGGGAGAACATGTAAACTCAGAACAGAAAGTGCTGATACTTGAACCAACGACCTTCTTGCTGTGGGGCAGCAGTGCTAGCCACAGAGCCGACTGATCCTAGAATTCAGGAGGAGGGAGAAGAGATGGATGGGGGGTCTTCCAATGAGAAGATGAGGAATGAACTTAGGCTGGAGGTTTATGTTAGATTTGGAATGATCCGATTGGCTTACTAATGTAATGTAAACCTATCACGTGCTCCTCTCGAAATTAGTTTGTGAAACTTCACTCATGTTATTTTTGTTTTACCTGCTTTCAAAACCATTCATCGGCAGACTTGAACCCTGTCAAGTCAGTTCCTCTCTGCGTCTCAAATCCTCCAGCGTACACGTCAAGCCAACCGTTAACAGCCGTAAAGCCGTCAACGCAGAGGTAAGCAGTCAGCTGGTGAGCGTCATACCGCCCTGTAGCGTTTGTTGTAAAGACAAAATGCAGCCATACATACCTCTGGCTACATAATTCGCACTCTTCAGAAATGTATATAGGGGTACGTTTTCAGAATGAGCCTGTGTTGATTACTCTTCCTGTTGATGTTATTTTTAACAATCCTCGACTAGAGCTTATTTAAGAAACAGGGTTCCCACACTTTCACCAGATTCAAGCACTTTTTAAAGCACCATTCATTTAAAATCAAGCCCCACTGTAGTTCATACCCCAAGATATGTAGCGCCTTGAGGGTGTACTTAACGTTTCACCTACACTTTATATTTACAGTTAAAATGTCAGAGTAATTTTACAAATTGGTCATTTTAAACAGTCACGTTCAAAGAACTTTAAAGGGCAGCTATTTTACCCCGTTTACAAGCTGTAAGATAAGCCTTTGATGTCTCCAGAATGTGTCTGTAAAGTGTCAGCTCAAAATACCCATCAGATTATTTATTATAGCCTCCAGAATCTGCCCACTTTGCTGTCTGAATACAGTGTAGCTATTTTTGTAGCCTGTGGCTTTAAATGCAAATAAGCTGCTTCTCCCCGCCCACTGTTCTGACTGCTTCTCATCATGTGTTATGTCAGATAAACAGCAGTCAGTGATAGAGACAGACTCGAATGAAGCTGAAATACCACTCAATAGTTGAAAATACCAAGTAAGTTTATTTGATGTGTTTGTGGTGGAGTTTATTCAAGCCTTTCTGAAATGATGAGTCACACACATGCTGTTTGCAGTTCTCACACACATATGTGAGTTTAATGACACCATGTTTCTGTGGTAATTATATATGTTAAGAATTAGATATCGATTTTACTTACTGTACAAACATGCTCTGTTTTAAAAACAATTTGGACTTATAAAAATCACAGGGAATTGAACAGATATTTTAATCCCAGTTTATTTGCTAATAAAAGAACTGTGGACATGTGTGTACATGTTAAAATAGAAACATGGTGCCTGTCAATCAATTCAGAGGGTGGGGGAAACCGCACTCCTACACCACGTTGCGGTGGGCCTCAAAATCACTGATTTGGGTCCTATTTTAACATCAGGATGTTTCATAAAAGAGATACGCGTTTATATCACCCAAATACGACTGTGGACACACTATACCTACGCACACTTCTATCCCCAAAGCTTACAAAACTTGATTTTCATCATAGGTGCCTTTTAATAAAATAAGTTGAATTCAATTCTGCTAATATTCAAATGCAGCTACAGAAATATTAATAGAATGTGCAATGTTTTTTTTTTTGTTTTAAATGAAGAATTTCTTAGTTTTTCTGTTTTGACAGCAGCGCAGTACAATTGTTGAAATAACACCGTTAACTAATTTTATTTTAAATTAAATTGAGCTCTTATGCTGGGTTCACACACGAGACGCGGGTCAAGCGTGAGTGATTTACAAGTCAATGCAAACGCGCGAATAGACATCCTGCGGCGTGATATGCGCGAATGGCGCAGCGCAGATTGAACGTTTTGCGCGTTTGACGCGCGAATTGCTTGAGTTCAAAAGTCTGAACTTCAGTGGACGTTCGTGCCGTGTTAACCAATCAGGAGCTTGCTCTTGTGGGGGCGTGATTGTGACGTACACCTGTTGTTGGAGTCCCTGGGGAAATCCTCCAGCTGACACCGACAAAAAGTTAATCAAACTGGGCACGTCTTAGTCAGAAGCACCGCTGAAAGCCTCCATCATCCAAGTTCAGTTTCTGGAGGAGTTTATGAGCTAAGAGAGCTGGATGAACCTCTGAAAGAATCTAGTGGACTCAGACACGACCCGAAACGTATCAATGCTGTTTTTCAGCCTTCATAAAGCACATAAACACTGCTATTCTCTCAATAAAATCCATGTTAGCTATTTAGCTATAAAGCTAGAGTCACTGGGCAGACAGAAGCCCTGCCCATCACGCTAATCTGCGCCTATTCTGAAGTCAATTTGATGCCCGAATGAAGCTGATTTGACATGCGAATGAAGTGAGTAAACTCAAATTTTCCGCGCGAATAGCGTGATTTATCCGCGCATTCTGTGTCTGGTGTGAACGCAGCATTTGATTGTGTTTGTTTTGAAGTGCTTTCCAGGCCTTGAATCCATATGTCTGCAATTCAAGTGCTTTCAAGAAGCGTCGGAACCCTGAATAAAAATATATATACAAAATGTTTTAAACGAGTAAGTATTTCACAAGTCAGATTTCCATAGTATTTTGAGCACTGCACAAGAAAATGTCCCAGGTTTGCATCTCAGAAACTCTGAGTGAATAAATAAACTACTATTCATTTAACGCCCATGTTATGCTGCGTTCACACCAGACGCGGCACGCGCGTCAAGTGTGAGTGACTTGCATGTTACGTCAATGCAAACGCGCGAATAGACATCCTGCGGCGCGAATGACGCAAATTGCGCGAATGGCACGGGGCGAATGGAGCGTTTTGCGCGTTTGACGCGCTTAATGAGCGTTTCGCGCGAATCTCTCGAATTCGAAAATCTGAACTCCAGCGTACATTCGCGCCGCGTTAACCAATCAGAAGCTTGCTCTTGTGGGGACGTGATTGTGACGTAGAACCTGTTGTCGGTTCATCAAACTGGGCTTGGCTCAGTCAGAAGCACAGCTGAAAGCCTCCGTCATCCAGGTTCAGTTTCTGGAGGAGTTCATCAGCTCACAGAGCTGGATGAACCTCTGAAAGGATGTAGTGGACTCAGACACGACCTGAAACGTATCAATGCTGTTTTTCAGTCTTCATAAAGCACATAAACACTGTTATTTCCTTCATAAAATCTATGTTAGCCATTTAGCTATGAAGCTAGAGTCACCGGGCAGACAGAAGCCCTGCCCATCACGCGAATCCGCGTCTGTTCTAAAGTGAATTTGAAACGCGAATGAAGCGGGGTTTGATGCGAGAATGAAGCGAGTAAACTCAAATGTTCACGCGGCAATTTACGCGCGAATAGCGCGATTTATCCGCGCGTTCCGCGTCTGGTGTGAACACAGCATTAGAGCGTTTGAACAGACTTCAAAAAAAAGTCTTATTTTGTACACTTAAATATTTAGTCCCAGGCCAAATCTATAATATTAATGTTTCAATTGGGATAAACTGGATATTATCCTTGTTCCCAAAATATTGTATATGTATTTTCTCTAATGCACTGAAAGAGTCATACCTGTCTGTCCTGAGCTGACACACAATTCCCAGCACGTCCACGAGTCCCTCCAGCCCCAGCTGACGACAGCCGATCGTCGTGGCCATGAAACACCCCGTCCGGCCAATTCCAGCACTACAAAACAAAAAGGCTTTTGATTTGTTTCGCGGTTATTTTAGTAAACGAAAGACAAGAACTATTGGCCAAACAACATTATTGTTAACTGAGGTCAAATTAAAAAGAAATGAAACTAATAACAGTTATAAAAAAAAAAACAAATTAAAGTAATAATTACTTCTGTAATTACATAAGTAATAATTAGCAAAAAAATTTATTATTGTTTTGGCTTTTATGTTTAGGTTTATAGTGCAAATATAAACCAAGCATTGTGATCGCCAGCTGTTTTTTCCGCTGGAAATTACTGTTGGTATTCCTACCGAACTACAACTCTTTGCACTCATCAACTCCAGCCACACCTGACAATAATCCGCACACTCACACACACAGCTGAAACTCCTATTCACTGATTGCATGGACTGTATATACTACTCACTTTCACAGACACTTTGCTGAGTCTTACACATTAAATTTTTTTCCCTTGTCTAGTCTTCCGGTGTTTTTGGCTTTTCCAGGTTTGATTCTTTGCCGGCTAGCCTGGCCATTCGCCTAGACCTTGCTTTTTGGATTACTTTATTGCTCCTGTTTGTGACCATTGCCTGCATGACTTTCCTTTAATAAACTGCACATGCAGCAGAACGACTGTTGTCAGCGTCCAATCGTTACACTAGGCTTGTGCAACTGCATATCTTTCTTTTAACGAAGTTTCACTGAATTTGTCCCAGTTTTTACTTTTATAAATTTAAGTTGCATTTGTATGCGTTTCAGTGCTTGTTCAAACAATTGTTTTATTTTTATGACTAAAATGTTTACGCAAGAGTTACTTTGCTCCGGTCGATACTGAACGTGTTCTGTTCACTGTGAAAACTAAAATGGTTAAAAACAAGTTTAAATATATAAAAATGAAATAGGAATGTGTTCAAGAAAAAAAATTATAACGAAACTGAAAGAAGCAAAACCATTCATGAAACTAGCTGATATAAGCCTGAAATTTAAAAATAGTATTAAGATAAAAACTCTTACTTAGTTATTAAGTATTACATATACTGTTTTTATTACATATAATTGTAGAAATTAGTATTTACAGGGTTCCTGCTCTAAGCAGAACGTCAAATTCCCTGATTTTCACTGACTAAAAAGCTGAGTTTCCGAAAAGCAGCTGTGTTAAACCATCCCTCCAGACGTTTGTGATTTTGCAATCGCTGAATGTAACATCAAGCATCAAGCAAATGGCTAAAAATGGCAACACCTATATCAGCGGTGGCCAACCGTGTTCCTGGAGAGCCACCTTCCTGCAGATTTCAGTTGCTACCCATATCAAACACACCTGAACCAATTAATTAGGACCTGAACACCATGTGATAATTACAAGCAGGTGTGTTTGATATGGGTAGCAACTGAAATCTGCAGGAAGGTGGCTCTCCAGGAACAGGGTTGGCCACCCCTGACCTATATGAACAAGGCTACGCTCTTCGTATCAATTGCGAAAAAAGTGCATGTATTGATTGTGTGAGAGCAGAACGAGGCAAATGGTGTTAGTGTTAACGACTGTCACCTGTGTGCACCACCAGTCTCGAGTCTCATGGAGGAGCTCTGAATCTTAAAAGGAGGAGAAACAGCAGTGCAAGTCCAGGCCTGGACACTTCGGTTGGTTTTCAGGAAGCCCTTAACTTCATTACAGTGCAGTTTTAACATGATTTTTCTAATGTTGTTGAAGAGGTTTCAACAGTTTTGAATATTTTGGTCAATCATTCATCAAATTTGATAAAGCAGGCTTTATTTGTAATAGGTGAACACTTTCAGTGTTCGCTTTGTATAGATTGTATGAGCAATGATTCTTGAGGTCACAAAAGTAGGAAAGAACTAAGATGTGTAAGTTCAGGGTTTCTGCAGATATCATGATGTCAAATTTAAGACCTTTTTAAGACCATTAAGTATTTAAGACCTATATCCCAATATCAAAAACACGCATACACCTAAAGAGGAAATGCAAAATCACAAAATTAGTGGCAAAATAAATGTATTTAAATTGAACCACATTGAAGGCAGGTTAGATGAACCATTAAACTACAGAAAAAAAAATAAAATTTTAGGCTGATGTATACTTTCGCCAGTTATAAAAAAATAATTTGATAATTATAGTTTTTTAAATATTAAATTGTTTTAAATTCAAAATTGCACTATATACATCAGTGTTAAACCTATGAATGGTGGAAAAACATATTCCGTAATATTACTAATACAATATAAACCACCCGGGTCTCCACTTTTGCCATGGCCTCTCGTTTTGGTTTTAAAAAATGCGTTCCTCAGCTTTTTCTAAACTTTTACAAAAACGTTCCTCCTTTCCCACGGCTGTTGCAATTTCTAGCCAAGAATTATTATCATCTCTTTATCTCCGTTTCAGACAAAGTCTCTTCAAAGTGATTCATATTCAACACAAATGAAACGCCGCGTGAAATGTTCGCCCGAGTCTCAAACATTTTGTGCGATCCGCCAACCGAAATCATGTCGTGCGTATGAATGGAAGTATGAATGGAATTCGGACGTACTACATGCGCCATTTTGTCATGGTCACGTGACCTACCTGCGTCAGTTGCGTCGCTTTACTTCCATTCATGAATTCGCTCGCGGGGCATTATGAGATAGCGCAGCATGCATGGGATGCGCACTCCGGAATCTCACCGGAAGTAGTAAGTCATCCTGGTACTTCTCGCATACTGATTTTCGAATTCTATGAATTCGGACATACTACTCGGCTCGCATACTGATTTTGGCGTACTATATAGTATGGAAGTATGCGGTTTCGGACGCAGCCCATGTATGTATTTATTTATTTGTCACTTTGTCGCCCTCTTGTGTTTTGTTGCTGTCTTTGTTTTTGATTGAGTAGATTCCTTCGCACCAGCAGATCAATGACTGCCAGCGTTTTAAGAGCTCACGCTGCAGCACTTTAGTGACGGGGATTTGAGCGGCCGTCCTGTGGCGGTGTTGTGCTCCTTTTGTGTTCAGCCTTAGTTTATTGTGTTTTCTCCCCACATTTTGTTTACGTTTGGTTGGTCAGTTGATAAAACCCCATATCTACCGATCCGTTTGTGTTCTCCCTTATTTGATGTTGTGACCAGGGTCGTAACAACCGGTATAAAATTCTGACGGTATGATAACCATGGGTAAAAATATCACGGTATTGTAATTACTGCTCTAAAATGTATTAATTTTAAATGTCTGGGTAAAAAACAAAACCTTTTTTTCCCTTTTGAACACGGGATATTTTATTTCGAGAAACATTTCAAATATTTTGGAGCAGTAAATGTGTCGAGCTAAATGAATTATTGAATTTTGATTCGTTTCAAAAACAGTTTTTTTTTTGTTTTTTTTTTACTAATTAAACATATTTTCTGCTGGAGAAATTGCCCTAAAAAAAAAAAAAAAAAAAAACGTAAATAAAATATCTTACACATACCTGATAAACGTTTTTTGCAGAAAGTTTTGAAGGTTTTAAAAGCTTGCCTTTTCAAACAGCGGTATTCACCTTATTCTCCGCTGACGAGCGCGGGTGCTGCCATTTGAATCTTTTTGTCTCGCGACTTCCGGTCTCATTCACTTCCATTCATTTTTGACGTTAAAAATTGCTCGTTACGCTGCTTGATGTTGCAATTTAATATTTTCTTATTATATTATTCTACTTGGTCTGCATAGTCATGCAAACGTTTGTTTGTAGAGCAAGTAGTTTGACCACCTTCTGCCGTTAATTATTCCTAGTCATTTCTCCCATAGGAGACTGAATCGAAAGTTCATAGACAATCGCGAAAACAGGCGCACTTCCGCATTTTAGAATAAGGTCAATACCTTGAAGACGGTTGTCCTCCCATCCCTATGTCACATTCGCTACGTGCACTGAGTTCAATAACAGAAAGCTGATTGGCTATTGTATGTTGGTCTCATTTGTAGTTGTAAAACCGTAAATTACATTTGGACTAGCGAAATAAAGAACTACAACACCACGAAAACCAAGCAACAACAAGAAAAAATAGTTTAAATGAGCGTTAGATGTAGCGCTACATGGACATCGGAAAAATAAGACCTAAGCAATAATATTTAATACCTAGAACAGCGAATTTAAGACTTTTTTGGCTTAATTTTTACATTTTAGACTTTAAGAGCCAGCGGAAATCCTGAAGTTTCTGTGTTTTCAAAACAAAAGAAATTCCACAAGTTTTCTTAAATCAACACAAAATCCAACGAAATCTCACGGCAATTCGTAACTTTTTGATTCAGTGGCTAATTCGTATGAATTTGTACGATCTAATTCGTACAATTTAGTACGATATGCTCATCACCCAATGATCGTTGGGTTTAGGGGTGGGGTTGGGTGCCATGCCTCCTTTTTAAAATCGTACATTTTCGTATGACTGAATTTGTACGAATTAGCCACTAAACTGACAAAATGTTAAATACTTAAGATTCTTTGTGAGATCAGGCTGCAAAACCTGTCATTTTAGGCCACAAAAAATCAGTCAAGAATAAAACCACAGCATCTTAACAGGTACAGTCAGGAGACTGCTTTTGATAGCTGGTTGATAAGTGGGAAAGTAAAAACTAGCAATGAAAATCGCCTAAGCATAACAATAGACAACACAGGTGTATATGATAAAAATATATTAATGGGAAGTAGAATTTAAAATGACAAACACATTACCTAATATTCCATCATTTGGACAATAACATTTATAAAACTCCCTGACTTTCAATGTCTGTGTCACAATTACCAGCGACCTCTAACCACCAGGGGTCGCTGAAAAACATTCTCACTCGTACAAACTACAAATCCGCCAGTTTATGGACTACAACTTCATACATGCACTTCGCCCACACACACCTGCTTCCTCATTTAGACTGATTACACACACTATTTAAGCCGCACACACTCATTCACGTTGCTGAGTCTTGTTTTCTGTTATAGTGACATTACAACGCGTTTCCTTTGTCTGCCTTCGCCGTGTTTTTGATACTTGCCTCATTAATCCCTATTGACTACGATTCTGGACTGCCTGTATACATCTGTTTGCCCCTGTATTGACCACTGAATGAACCTGCATGTGGATCCTCACCTCTGTTGTCAGTGTCGCTCCCCTGGGTTACCGTCTGGAAGAGACCTTTTAAAATTCGGTGATATTCCAGAAAGTTCCATGACCTGCAGGGTCTCCGTATTTGATTTGGCTGGTAAGCTTACGTACCTGCAGTGGACAACAACCGGCCCGCTGGACGTCCAGCCTTTTCTGTCCTCCTCCACATCATTAACTAACTGCAGCAGGGGTCCGGCACTCTCTGGGGTCTTATGATCGGGCCATGATGTGTACCAGTAATGCTGCACTTTGCGACTCTGGCCTCCATTCTGAGAAAACATAAAGAGTAAGTAAAAGTCTAACAAGTGTCACAGGTATTACTACACTGAAAAAAAGTCTGCAGAACTGATGCAAACAACTTATTTGTGTTGAATTTAAACAAACAAATTACAATGTTCAACTTAATTTGTTTGTTTAAATTCATTCCAAATAAATTGTTTACAACCACTTAACGTAAAAAATAGTAAATCCAAGGAATCACCTTTGATTATTTTTTTTCAGTGTAATGAACAGCAGTCTTTCACTAGATGTCAGTATATACAAATTATATATTTGACCTATGAGTTTATATTTGGATTTCACATGCATCAAATATGTTAAATTTGCAGCATATATTTCAAAATATCACAAAAAATTACTGCTTATATACAGTATGCTTTATATATATATATAAAATAAATGTATATATATATATATATATATACATACATATACATACATATATATATACATATATATACACATATATATGTATATAAGTATATATACATATATATATATATATATATGTATATACATATGTATGTATATATATATATATGTATATATATATGTATGTATATATATATGTATGTATATATATATGTATGTATATATATATATATATATATATATATATATAGCAATTAAAACAATCAATATATGATTTCTTTAGGCAAATCATTACGGTAAGCTCAGTATCACTAATAATCAAAGAATGCAACTCTCTTTTAAAAGGCAAATACCTTCAGATTAAGCGTGCGGATTATATAGTGGTCACATTCCTTCACATTATTAACGGAGACCTCCACCTTCCCATAGATGCCCCTCTTCTCAGGCCAGTAAAGGACACATTTCTGCAAGAGTAAAACAAAACCCTTTTAACATCCATAGTCCTTTTTTAAGAGTTTCTTATGTATTTTAATCAGTCCAGGCTCATTAGAAATGCACCAGTCTACATGTTTTGGGAAATGTAAAGCACGTTGCTCTGGGTGCATTTTGTTGCACGTTTCAGATGACAAATCCACTAGATGGAGCTGTCTACATTATTGCGAACCTGAAATACGTTAACTAGTGTGCGTTTTATTGTACGATTCTGATGCAAATCCTTCTTGTGCGCATGCAGGAGAAGGCGGAGCTTGTTGTACAGATCAGCACTGACCTGAACCCTTCCCTAAACCCAACCAATAGTGTTTTCAGAAGAAACATAAGAGAAAAGTGCACTGCAACCATAGTTTTACCTTGATTCGACGTAACTTTTTTCTTTTTTGTGCACGCATGCTTCCCCGGACTCAAACCGAAGCACTCTGCATCACAAATACACCATCTTACAAATCTTTCAGACCGCGGCAGAGAAGTTGTCCATATGGACATAGATAGGTGACGCAAATGTTTCCGATAACAAATCATTAAGTCGTTTGTGGTATTTATTTGGTGTCATGAAAAGAAAATAATCATGTATTCAGCAATAATATGTCTCGGTAAATGTCATTGATGTGAAAAGGAACAAAAGTTGTTGGCGTCATACTGCCCCCTAGTGTTTATAAACCGCAGTCAAACGTATGTTTTTGCGGTTTAACGAAAATGTAGGCTAGAACACTCATTTCCAAAGAGCCTGTGTGGATTTTAATCAAACATTACTTCATTTTTCTCCTTCAGTTTAGTGATCATGACGATGACAGGGCAGTCCTCTTGCCAGACCATTTGCCAGAAGTCATTGACCGTGTTGATCATCGGACCCTGAGTAGCAATGAAGGCTCTCTCCACTCCGAGATAACCCTGCATTTAAAAAAAAAAAAAGTTGAATTTCATAGATTTGACATGACGAAGGGGAACTGATAGTCGATAGCTGAAGTAAATGAACATTTGTTGTTATATCTACCTTTTCCTCACAAAAAAACATTAAAGGGACAGTTCACTCACAAAATGAAAAATTCCTGACTGTTTACTCACTATCTTGTGGTTCTAAAACATTTATGAGTTTCTTTCAGCTGCTGAACACAAAGATACACTGACGAATGCTGGAGAAAAAGCAGCTATTGGCTTCCATAGTAGGAGCACAAAACACTATGGAAGTCGATGGCTTCATTCTTCAGCGAATCTTCACTTGTGTTCAACAGCCGAAAGAAAGTCGAGCAGGTTCGGAACATGTGTTGGATGAGTATCCCTTTAACAAACACTCTGTCAGGAAATAGTTTGACTGAAATCAGGACTTACTCGTATGTAGTTGGCATTGATATAACTGCTGAGCGGGTCATTTGAGTTCTTAGTCTTCAGAATGACCCTGGAATGTGGATCTGAAATGACACGTGAACTTGGTGATAATAATAATAATACACATGAATCACTGACATATATCCCATACTTCTTAAGACCTTATAATAGATTTTAAGAGCTCATAACCACTTTAGGTTTTAACCGGTAACATCAGCGACACTTTAACTTGCCGTATATTTAAAAAAAGCACAAATAAAAAGCCTTAACTTGTGATGAAACTCCTCATAAATGCAGTTTACTTCAGAAGGGTGGGAACACAACACTTTAGCTTTCTGTTTAGCGTTTTTTCCAACACATTTCCAAACATAACAGTTTTAATAACTCATCTCTAATAACTGATTTATTTTATCTTTGCCATGATGACAGTACACTAGGGCTGCTCGATTATAGGAAAAATTATAATCACGATTATTTTGGTCATAATTGTAATCACGATTATTCAAAACGGTTATCAGTTGAAGTCAAAAGTATTCTGTCCTTCTGTGAATTTATTGTTATATATAAATATTTCCCAATTGATGTTTAACAGAGGGTTTTTTACAGTATTTCCTATAATATTTTTTTTTTCTTCTGGAGAAAGGCTTATTTGTTTTGTTTCAGCTAGAATTAAAGCAGATTTGAATATTTCGAAACCTATTTTAATAGCTCGATATTATTAGCCCCTTTATGTTTGATTGTCAGCAGAAGAAACTCCTGTTATACAATGACTTGCCTATTTACCCTAATTAAGCCTTTGTGTCACTTTAAGCTGAGTATCTTGAAAAACATCTAGTAAAATATAATGTGCTGTCATCATAGCAAAGATAAAAGAAATCAGTTATTAGAAATGAGTTATTAAATCTGTTGTTTAAACTGCGCTTTAAGCATCTTCACTGTATTTTTGATTTTATTATTGATTAATAATAAAAACAGTCGGCAGCAGCAGGAATATCGCACGCTGTCACTTTAAGAATAGTGCGGCTCTGATATGGTTTCTCTTTCTCGTGTCTTTTAATTCTCAACTTGTTTATTACACAAATAAGGGTTAATTTGAATAATCACTAAACACCGCGCTCTGACACAAGTGTGCATGTATTTCACATTAAGATCGCGTTACCGTACGTTCACACCGAAAGCGGCGAGAGCGTCAAAGTAGCCGGAAGTCATTCATTTTCAATGAGAGCCGGCGGCGATAAGCGACGAGGAGCAGCGCGGCGCGTCTTCGCCGGCGTGATCGTCGAGGAGAGTTGAAATGAAGTCAACTTTATGGTAATGAGCTATGACGCGATTCTGCGGCAAGCAATCAGAATGAAGACGTCCACCGCTTGATAGCAGTTCAGAGAACACAGACTTGTGAACTTTGGTTCCGACCACAGTTGTTCCCAAGGGTTTGATTATTGCGGTCGCCGGATTTACAATTATTTACAATTTTTTCCTACAGGAACATACATTAAATAAGTTACTGGCGAGTTACTGATGTTCATTAATGTTATATATTTATCTTAAAAAAGCGGGAATCTCACGCGATGTGACAGTACAAAACAGTAACGTTACTGCTGCTTCAGGATATTTCAGACATATGGACACATATTGGATAAATAGAGCAAAGCCACACAACTTGATCTTCCATTGTTGTATGAATTTGATAAGAAGTGTGCAACATTTTCACGCTAGAAACATGTTTTATGCAGGAATGTAACTGATATGCTGCAACGGCTCCTTTAAATATGAGATCAATGTAGCGAGTTTTGACGCTCTTGCCGCCGGAGCTGAAGGCAGAGAGCGTTGTCGCCAGGGCAGCCAGAGCGACCTTGGACGCTCTCGCCGCTTTCGGTGTGAACGTACGGTTAGATGTGCGTGTGTGCTCTGCTGTCCGAGGCTAAGCGCGGCGCGCGCGCAAACGCACACACACGCTACCTGTCCTAGGCTGAGCACGGCGCGCACACACACAACAGCACGTGCTCTTTTGCGCTTTTAAAAATATGGATGATGCGCATCCCGTGCTGCAAAACTTACATTACCGCACATGCTTGTAGTCATTTTCACGTGGAACTGAGCTTTGCAGAGGCAAAGAGTTTTCACACGTGTACAACTAGAAAGGGGGCGGTACTTGATGGAATAATCGTTTATCTCGATTAATGGTTTTCCATAATCGTTAAAAGCCAAAATCGAAATCGGATTTTCGATTAATTGCACAGCCCTACAGTGTCACGTTAGCGTGATCAAAACAGAAACAAAAAGGTGCGGATCCAAGTGCAGGTTTATTTACAATCGTGCAGCAAACAGAAAAACAAGATGTCCGGTGTTCAAAAAATAACAAAGTAACAAATAAACAGCAAAACAAGAAACTATGACAGAAACAAGATCAGGAACAAGACTAAGGAAACAACAAACTCGATATTCAAGACTTACTAGAAACTGATGACAAGATAGACAAACGACGCAGTAACAAACAGAGCTGGAATGGTTGACTATATAGTCCAGGTAATCAACGGAGATTGGGGACAGTTGTGGTTGAAATCAGTGTAGATGACAGACCGGGTGTGTGCACGAAAGAATGTATGGAAATGTAGTCTTTTTGGGCGCTGTAGTTTCACTAAGTGTCCATTGAACTACAGCGCCCTCAGGTGGTCACTGACAGTCATGACATACAGTACACAATAATATTTTTCAAGACACTTCTATACAGCTTAAGTCAGGGGTGTCAAACTCAATTCCTGGAGGGCCGAAGCCCTGCACAGTTTAGTTCCAACCCTGCTCCGACACAACTAGGATAATTAGGTTAACTAGGCAGGTTAGGGTAATTAGGCAAGTTATTGTATAGCGATGGTTTGTGCTGTAGACTATGGAGAAACAAAGGCTTAAAAAAGTGGCTAATAATATTGACCTTAAAATGATTCATAAAAAATGTAAAGCTGCTTTTATTCTTGCTGAAATAAAACAAAAAAGACTTTTTCCAGAAGACAAAATATTGTCAGACACACTGTGAACATTTCTTTGCTATATTCAACATAATTTGGGAAATATTTAAAAAGGAATAAAAAATCTAAGGGATTTATATATATGTATATATATTCATTCATTCGTTCATTTTCTTTTCAGCTTAGTCCATTCATTAAAATGGGGTCGCCACAGCAGAATGAACCGCCAACTTATGCAGCGGATGCCCTTCCAGCTGCAGCCCATTGTTGGGAAACATCCATTCACTCTCATTCACACACATACACTTCAGACAATTAAGCTTTCCAAATTCACCTGTACCGCATGTCTTTGGACTGTGGGGGAAACCGGAGCACACAGAGGAAACCCACCTGTGGGGCTGTGGCAAACTCGCTGACTTTTAATTAAACTAAGCAATCTTTAGAGTCCTATTTATTTCAACTCAACACACATGACTAGGGGTGTCACGATTTCTATTTTTAATCGAAATCGATCAATTCATGCTCAATTTCGATTATCGAATCAAAAAATAGAATCGTCGATGCTGCCACGCCCCCATGTCACGTCAGCTTGGCTTGCCAAGCGGGAAAAAACAGGCTTGTTGAAGTGCAGAAGCAGGAGACCCGTCGACAGAACTTAAACCCTCTCCTCTTTCAATGAAGTCGCCGGTGTGGAAGTATTTTGGATTTCCAGTGAGTTATGTTGACAACGTTCGTGTTGTCGACAAAAAAAACACAGTTTTGCAAGCTCTGCTATGTACGTATTAGGGTTCGTCCGATAGACAACACCGGCATCGTGATCCTCCGCCCGCCCCCGTTGCAAATCCGCTCGCGAACAGTACACACTCAGGCCCTGTTTACACTGTCTTTGTTTTTAAACGGCATTTTAGAACGACAACGATTTGACATCCACAGTGGCGTGTAGCATTTCTGAGCAGCCCTCCTTCCTCTCTACCTCTGGAAACGCACATCACGTGACCACACAGACACAGACGCACACACAGCCATGCGCTCGAGACAGCAGGTCCAGGCAGTCAGAGGACTGCTTCAATCTTTCACTCACTTGTACTTAGTCATTTTAGCGAACACCTCAGATACTGTTGGCTGGTTCCTGTTGGTTGTGCGTCTTTTTTACCGACGCCATTATAACGACACCGATCACTGCCTATTCACGAGTCCCGCAGAAAAAGTGATTGACAGGTGGTAATTATGTGTGTATCTTGCCTTTATTCATTTACTGTATGATTTGTTTATGGGTAAAACAAAGACCATCCAGGTCAGGTAGTTTAAACGGTAGACTACAAATAATTAATTGGTCATTAATTAATTAATTATTCATAATCGAAAATCAAATCAAATCGTGACTTTAGAATCGAAAATGTAATCGAATCGAGGATTTGGAGGATCGTGACACCCTTACACATGACTATGAATAAAAATGAAATATGAAAATCCCCTCTCTTCCAGCAGGACAGAACTGCAGTACACAAAGCAGCCTGATGTCAAACCTTGTCCGATTTCATCGATTTGATAAACCACACGGCACCCCAATATCTGCAGATTCGATTCAGGCAAGCTTCAGCATAAAACTATGTGTTGTATGATCAAAACACGTACAAAGTTTAATACTTTTTAAGGCCTCACAGCAAGAAGGTTGCTGGTTCGAGCCCCGGCTGTGTCAGTTGGCGTTTCCGTGTGGAGTTTGCATGTTCTCCCCGTGTTGGCGTGGGTTTCCTCCGGGTGCTCCCGTTTCCCCCACAGTGCAAACATATGTGGTATAGGGGAATTGGGTAAGCTAAATTGTCCGCAGTGCATATGTGTGAATGAGAGTGTATGCAACACATGCAGGATAAGTTGGCGGTTCATTCCGATGTGGCGACCCCAGACTAATAAAGATATTGAGCCGAAAAAAAAAAGAATGAACGAATGATACTTTTTAAAATAGCATTCAAGACTTTTTAAGGGTATTTTAAATTGATTTATCAACTTTTCATATTTTTTAAGTCCTCACAAATCCCCTTAATAATGATAATAATAATAATAAATCAAATCTGTAGCATTCAAATCAGCAGTATACAACAGCGGACTTAAACTGACGGCCCATTTCAAGGTAGCATAGTAACACAACCTTGCAGATATATTCAGAGCTGGCTTATTCGACTTTGACAGAGATTAATGTAAGCAAACTGAGGCATCACTTTATTGAAAGGGGAGATTCACATCACAATAAACTATATAGCTACTCTATGTCCCGGCCGGTTTTTGTGTTTCGTTCATTTTCAAATGATAAATGCCCATTTTAAAGCGCTTCATGGGCCCTTTAAGATTGTTGCTGCTGATTAATTGTATTGCTGTTCATAAGTACTGACAAATATTGTTTCTCTGTGACACTCGCATGCTGAAAAACAAGACGAGCGCTCGATTCAAAGGCAAACCGGTCACCATACCCATGATAATTCAGTGAAACCTCAGATACTGACTTGGCAAAATGGTCTTGTATCTATTTTTTGATCCGTGATTCGGGACGTCAAGTTCCTTCTGATCCACAAAGTTCATGGGAATTTCCTGTGGGAAAGTTAAAAACGTTACAAATGAAATGTCTAGCAGATTTATAAAGTACATAAGCTGTACATTACAACAACCCCATACGACATTTGTTAAATCATCCATCCAAAGAGGTGAATTAGACTTAAGCACAAAACCGGAATATCACTCAAAACATTCGTAAATGAAGCTGCGTTTCCATCCAACGAGTCAAAGAGAGGAAAATCGTCACTTCCTGATAAACTGGCGGCAAATATCAGAAATAACAATGGAGTTTTCTGAGGTAGGAGAAGCCACTGTGAGCCTTTCTCTTATATGATTCACAAGTCGAGCATCAGGAGACAAAACGCAATGAACTCAATGTGGTAGCATTTGGAGGTGCGAGACGCTCTTTTTGAGCGCAGACTGACGCTCAAGACAGTTCTGGAGGTAATAATCAGGGATGGGCAGCATTTATGATACATGTATTTAAAATACATATTTTAAATACCAAATAGTATTTTGTAATTTGGCTTTTTTAAAATGGCTTAATATTTCAAAATACTTCAGTGTCTTGTATTTTTGTATTTTAAAATACTGTACAATACTTGGTAAGAAGTCTACATGATAACATGGTAAAAATGGGGCATCAGATTGGTGCTTTCCTGGTTATTTGGCTAGGTTTGAGATCTGAACAGAAAATTGATTAAGAAGATGGTCAATGCTTAGAGTACATATGAAAATTATGCAACACACATATCGGGCCCTATCATACACCCGGCGCAATGTGGCGTAAGGCGCGGCGCAATAGTCTTTCGGTAGTTTCAGCTTGGCGCAAGAGTGGTTTTGAGGCGTTGCGCTACGCTGTTTAAATAGCAAATGCATTAGCGCTCATTTGTGCGCCCATAGGCGTTCTGGTCTAAAAAGGAAGGCGTTCTGAGGCGGACCGCTGGCGCGTTGCTATTTTGAGAAACTATAATAGATTTTTCATTAGACCAAAACTAACCCGGTCTAAACTCCAGCGCAGAGTTGCACCTCGCTTACACACTGCTTAATACACACAAGAGACCAATAGGCAAATATCTTTACATATGAAAAATTTAAATATTAAGGATATATATAGGATATAATAGACTAATTGATGTCTGTGCGTAAAGGTTTCACTATTCAAGAGCGAAAGTGAAAGTAGATCCATTATCTCTCATTCTCATGCAGTAGATGCTCTGTTTAACTGTTTTCTGTTAAAAAAAACTGTGAACTGTTTGCTTGTGAAATGCTCAGTTTTTCCACTTAGACTTACTTTGCGTCCTGTAAATAGCGAATGCGCTTATGGAGCGACGCAGCTGGCTCTTAAAGGGAATGGGAGATGAGACTCTGATCGGTTTATTCTCAAAACACACCTATAACTCATTAAGGAAATAAACTCAACCCTTTAAGACCATGCGCCACGGCGCAAAGCAGATTTTCCTGTCCTTAAATTAGCAAAAATGCGTTCTGACGCCCTGAAAGCGTTTGCGCCCTGCGTTTTGCGCTCTGCGCATGGACCACCAAAATAGAGCCCAAAGGGTTACATTTTAACGATCTAGGTGCAAAGTCTAAAGCGCAGGGTGCAAAAGCATTAAGGGCATGTCTGAATCCACATTTGCTATTTTAAGGATGGAAAAATATGATTTGCACCGCTGCGCATGGTCTAACAGGGTTGTGCTTATTCTCTTAATGAGTTATGGGTGGGCATATTAATTATTTGAGCATAATGTGCATTAAACCAATCAGTCTCATCTCCTATTCCCTCTTAGAGTCAGTTGCGTCCCGTCGTAGTCATTTACTATTTACATGGCGGACTTTGTAAGTGGAAAAACTGAACTCTTCACTAACGAGAAAACAGTTAAACAGCGCATCTGCAGCGCGAGGATAAAGAATGAGCCTCCTCCATTCAGCCTCTTTCTCTTTACTCCTTTACTTTGGTGGAGAAGGAAAACAGTGTTGTACGCTCTCCACTGAAGACATCCATTCAGCCTATACATTTAATTTTGTTTGTTAAGCGCAAAAATCTGCTTTAAAACGATTTCTAAATTCAGTTCTAATTTCCAGCAAATGAACAACAATAACGAAGTTTGGCCAAAAAACGTTAAAAAAAGTTATATCCAAACACACGTCCTGTTCTTATGCCCCATATGGAGATGCAGACGTCTCCAAAACCCGACAGGTGGACAAATCTAAACTTGTTTTTATTAAAAACAATATAAATATTAATGGCCGCGCAGTGGGTGGCACGTTTGGCTCACAGAACGAAGGTTGCTGTTTCGAGCCTCGGCTGGGTCAGTTGGCGTTTCTGTATAAAGTTTGCATGTTCTCCCAATGTTGTCGTGGGTTTCCTCCGGGTGCTCTGGTTTCCCCAACAAGTCCAAAGACAGGTGGTACAGGTGAATTGAATAAGCTAATTTGTCTGTATTGTATGTGTGTGAATGGTAGTAGATGTTTTCCAGTAATGGGTTGCGGCTGGAAGGCCATCATGTGCTGGATAAGTTGGCAGTTCATTCCGCTGTGGCGACCCCGGATTAATAAAGAGATTAAGCCCAAAAGAAAATGAATACGGTCTATTTCAGTTCCTCAAAATTGCAACGTGCCAACAATGCGCCTTAACACACCTCTTTTCTAGACCAGCACACCCATGAGTCCACACAGTGGCGCAAATGGATTTACTATTTAAACAACATGGCGCAAAACAGGAAAATTAAAGGGTCACAAAACACCAAAACACATGTTTTGAGCTGTTGACAGTCGTATATGTGTCCCACACTGCTAAAAACACTTTTAGGACACCTATATCTCACTTAAAAGTGAAAATTGGAGGTTTTTGCATTATTTCGAGCAAATTCGTACTTCCGGTTTGAAACGAATTTTTGAAGCTGCGTCACGGCCATGACATAATAGCGTTGTATTCCAGCGTGCAGACTGGACGTCTGTACCTGGATGTCCCCTATTACATCTCTGAGTGTGTTGCATTGATTCATGAGTATGGCTTCGTTCAAACCAATCAGCGCGCTCTATTATGTATGCACTGCAACTTCATTAATATGCATGCTAGCTTTCTTAGACTGTACCTGAAACAGTGTTCAGACGGCAGACAGATGACACACGTCGTGGAAAAAAGATTAAGAATTGTTTGGAGATACGGGTCGCCAGTGTTGCTTTCATAATGTGAAGGTTTTGTTTTCATTTTCTCTCTATGAGAGCGCTGCTGGACTCCCCTGTGGATCCATGGATGCGAAAACGCAGCATAAATGTGTTTGTTTGGAACATTTTTTACTCAAGAGCATTTCTCATCTATGGTGAGATTCCGATTTGCTGCTCGTCTCCTTTTAAAAAAGACGCAGCTCCAGTATGAGCTGATTGTCCTGTCTACAGATTCGGTAAGTGTGTGCGATCAGCGCCCTTTCCTTGTTCGTTCAGATGGCAAAGTAATAGTCGGTATGTTCAGCTGTACTCTTTCAGTGTTTACAGACAGACCTTAGTCAAAATGATTTCTAAGTTACTTAGTTTACAATATGTTAATATCACTACAATACTGAAAGATCTGCTGTAAATGTTGCTCTCTGTGTGTAAACATGTGAGCACTGTAAGCAAACTATTGCCAACCGTTGTGTTATTTTCACGGCATTTTGTGACAGGATAGTCCACACACATACGGCTTTCTGACCTCCTGAGTGCATCTGAGTTACCGAGAAATGAAGGTTTTTTCCTCTTATACGACGTGCGGTATTAAACATTTCACCGTCATTAAACACACTGTCTTTCTCCCCTGCGTGTGTGTTTGTCCAACTTTGCTCAAATGGCAACTCCCATTTTTATTCAAACCCTGCCCATTTCCCCTCCCCCGACACTCCCATCCAAACAGAGCTAGACACGCCCACTTTCCTGACTTTTTCCAAACTAGAGGTGTGAAAACACCCTGCTGAAACGAGGGGGTTTCATGGCCCTTTAAGGTTGCACTGGTCTGAAAATAGCAACACATCACGGCAAACACGTCTTGCGCCTTATTGCACCGGGTGTGTGATAGGGCCCAAAGAAAAATTACTGACAAATGGCATGGGTAGATTTGGGAACAAGTCCACAATCAATGAAAATAGTATACTGCACAGTGATATGTAATATGTAACGGCAGTTTAGTGTCCAAATAGAAATAAAACAAATAAAGTCCACCTTAACTGTCGGTGATTCCCATGACTCGTTAAAGCTCAGCTAAACCCCAATCGAGCAAGGAGATGTATATTTAGCGCACTTACAGCGAACTCAGCGTGCAGGACGTGTGTGTTCTGGGTGACGTCGCGCAGCTGTTTGCGGGAGAGGACTCGACTGGCGGACTGCAGGTATTCCTGAGTGGCGCGCTCGCGTGGGGTCACGACCCCACAATTCAAAGGCTCCACAGAGCCCAAAGAACTCATATCGAGCACCAGAGAGACGTTAGATCCACGCCTGTGTGAGAAAGAACAAGAAAACCAGTCAGTTGAGTGCGATAAAGCAAATCTAGGGTCACACTTTATTGTAATGCGCACTTCCCACCATCAGTGAAGACTTTTCAAGAGTTCCCACTTAGATATGCTTGGCATTTATAGCAGGTTTGGCATGCTGTCCCGGGAGAGAACCCTGAGCTCGGAGATATTTGAGCCCAGGGCTCCCGCCCGGTCTAGAAGCATATCAGGAGAACCGAGATCAGGTAGGTCTCGATAGCTCCCGCTTTAGAAGGGGAGAAAAAGGAGGAGATGGGGTGGAAGGGGGGATTCTTCCAAAACGAAGATAGAGCAATAAGGAGAAAGTGATCCATTTATATTAAGCTAGGATCATTCTGATTGGATTATTACTGATTACGGATGAGTGGCCAGCGGTGCACAATCACATCACGTGCTCCTCTCGAAAATAGTTTCAAGAGTTCACACTTAGCTGATGATTAATTATAAAGCTTGTTTGGCATGCTGTCCCAGGAGAGAGCCCTGAGCTCATGAGATCCTCGAGCCCAGGGCTCCCTCCCGTTGCAAAGCGGGAGGGGAGTTTGAGCTTAGGTAGACCTCGAAAACTCCCCTGCTGTAGCAAGTGAATGCTCTTGAAACTAATGACTAACTAGAAGCGTGTCTATGTTGACAATTTGGATTGTTCAATTGACTTAATTGCATGTTTTTAGGCGGTGGGAGGAAAACGGGGAACCCGGGGGAAACCCACGTGAGCACGGGGAGAAGTGCAAAACTCCGCACAGAAATGTCTGCTAGTTTTGGTAAAGCTAGGAACTAGAGACATTCTTGCTGTGAGGCGACAGTGCTAGGCAATGGGCCACCGTGTCACCCGTCTAAGAAGGGGGAGTAAGGGAGGACGGGGGGACTCTTCAAAACGAAGATAGCAGTAGAATAAACCCCAGGGTATTTAAAGTAGTTAAGGAGTCATCTGATTGGATCGTAGTGAATTGGATAATGCGGGTCAGCTGCTAGCAATCATAAGCATGTGATCCTCTCGAAATTTGTTTATACATAAACTTCACTTCTGAAACTTCACTTAGCTCAATAAACTGCTAATTAGCTGCGTGCTAACAGTTATTAAGATAGGTATTGGGTGAGATTAGGGATGTAGAATAAGATCAAAGCTTATAAGTAAGAATTTGCGTGCAAATGATTGAGTCTTAAATTAATAATTATTCAGTTTTTAAATGGATTACAGTAATATTATTGACTAATATGAAAGTGTTGATTTGGTTTATGCACAATGCAGTTTGTACAGTAATATGTTCTGTCTTTTAGTAGAGATCCCTGCTGAAAAATCCAGCTTAAACCAGCCTAAACTGGTTGGCTGGTTTTAGCTGGTTGACCAGCCTGGTTTTAGAGGGGTTTTGGCCATTTCCAGGCTGGTTTCCAGCCATTTCCAGCCTGGTCTTAGCTGGTCAGGCTGGAAAATGACCAGCCAAATCCAGCTAAAACCAGCTTGACCAGCCTGGTTTAAGTTGGATATAGCTGGTTTTGGTTAGACTCCCAGCTTGGCTAGGGTGATCAAGCTGGTCTTAGCTGGTCATCTCCCAGCCTGACCAGCTAAGACCAGGCTGGAAATGGCTGGAAACCAGCCTGGAAGTGGCCAAAACCCCTCTAAAACCAGCCTAGTCGACCAGCTAAAACCAGCCAACCAGCCTAGGCTGGCTGAAGCTGGATTTTTCAGCAGGGATATTATATGAGAGACTTGCTTCGTTTACCGAATAAAGTGGATCTAGATGGATTTGCATTGTAAACATTAAATAATAGTCGAAAAGCTATTCTTTTTATTTCACATATGAAGTTTTTAGTTACGATTTTTTTTACAAAATTCTCAGCAGAAATAACAAAAAAACGTCAGCAGATTCCGTCTGGCAGAAAAACTAAAACTAAACTCAAACTAAAGTCATAAAGTCACGAGGTCCAGAATTTGTCCTTTTAATAATTTATGTAATTCAATATTATATAATATATTCAGGGCTCGAAATTGCGACCAATATGCGCCCGAAATTTTATTTATGCGACCTTAAAATATATTTGGGAGCATTTCTGCGAGTGCTTAAAACTGTTGTGCGCGACCAGTTTTTACTGCAAAATGTTCACCACATGCGCGGATTCGGGAGACATTCACGCAGAATGCATCTCTAAGCTGTTTGTCTGCACTTGAAACGCGAAACGCAGCGCTCGGGAATGGTTTAAAACAGTTGTCATGTCAACTTGCTGCAGTAAACAAAGCCAAGTCCGTAATGCTTGCCCCGCCTTCGCGCTCTTCTTATTGGCCCACCCCTGCTCTAGCACTGAACGCGAATGATTGGTTAATATCAGCTGTCAATCACTCAGTCAGCGTCTTCTGGCATCAGATGATAGAGAGAGCTACTACCGCGCGCGGAAAACTAAAGCGCTGAAGATGAGAATGAAGATAACGCTGGCAGATTTTGTTTTAGAAACCATCTAGTTACAAATAATGACACATCTTATTAGTGACCTTGGCTGAATGTTACTCCACCATCTACACTTTTCCAAGAGTAGAAGACTTCTGTTGGCTTCAAGTCCGCTTTGAAAAGTCTGTGGGATGGAGTTTTCAGGTAACTGTTTGCCACATCTAGCACGAGAGCTTCTGTTTAATCCTTCATATAATCGCCAGATGCTGTCCGCCGTGCAAGGGGCAGCTATATGTCAAATTGAACACCACGTAGGCTACACCATCGCTACTCATGAAAAAAACGGTATTGCTATTAACATGACGTCTGCATATAATAAGGTACAGTATGTGTCAAAAACATGAGTGCAATATCAGACAGCACTTATACCGTTAACAGATTCATTCAAGCAGTGCGTGGAGGACCGGTGAGCGCTCCGTGTATCTTTTGCTCACTCAGTTCTGTTATAAAAATTTATTTTCTTTTGATAACGGGATTTCATTGAGACATATTTTCCTCACGCTTGCATATATATATATATTGTTTTTTGCTTGTTAGTTTGATTAGTGTTGATTTCAAATACAATAAATATGTTTGTATAAAACGTGTTGTAACAGTGCTCATAATTGGTGTGTGCGACTAAATTTTGGCTGATGCGCCTACATTTTTAAAGTTAGGAGCACCGGTGCCTCCAAGCAAAAAGGTTCATTTCGAGCCCTGATATTTATTATATAATTAATATAATATATTTGTGTTTAATATATATTGTTTTAATTTGAAATAACTCTGGCCAGTAATTCGAATTCCATAGAGCCTCAAAGCCACAATAATGTGACGCGAGTCACGACAGAACCCACTGAGTGGGAATATTTGAATCTGATGCGACATCCATACTGAGTAACACTGTGGGTCGAAAAGAGCAAGAGAGGCAGAAAAGGCAGGCATCAGCGTCATTATGGTAAAATATTGAACATATGTTCAAAAAGACTGCCAAACAGGGTACGGCTAAAGTTACTTACTTCCAAACAGATGAAAATCTGCACCTTTCCATGAGGTTCTAGGCTAACCGGCTGCATTAGCCGGGGCGTCCTGTATATTCATTGACTTGTGCAGTACATGACCATCATCAGCATCTCAATTCCTCGAAAGGTCGAGAGGTCAATCCTCTTTGCATCAAAAAAACGAATAAACGAATATGCGAGGTGTTTGTAGGTTAGGCAGTTTTCTCTTCTGGCTGCCGTTATCGGTCTCTATTTTATTAAATTTTTTTCTAAAGTCTTGAAAACACTATCACGGAGTGTTTCTTCTTTTATTTGAGCGAACAGAAATACAAAAATCTATAACTGTTATACTCTCGCAATCCCTGCTCTCTACGTTTACCAAGTATGATGACTTCTACTGAGAAACCTAAAAATGTGAGAAGGGTCCATTGTACTAATGTAAATTAATAAACGATGTGAGTTTTTCGAACCACCGAGGATGTTCTAGTAACTCCTAAAACAAAATCAAGACTTCACACCAAGCATGAAAACAATAAATATAAATATGTAAGGATAAATATATTTGTTTTTGTTTACATAATTGGTCAATATCCCTTGTAACCAGCAGGTGTCCTCAGTGAGCTGCTACCGAGACATCATTAACCAGAAATGACCTCTAAACGGCTGCGCTTGTATTTGTAAACAGTTGACTACATCACAAACTCTGTGGATGGATCAGTATTGTGAACAACTTTGATGAAAACATAGAGATTAACACTTTCGCATGTCGAGATGTACATGATATGTACATCTCACGAGCTGCTTCACGGGGACACACGACGCGTCAAGCAACTAAAGGAAGCAGAGCTTGAAGGTAAACAAACAACGGCTCATCATAAGCCTCCTATCGGTAATTATTTACACATTAGGCATTAAGAAGAAACGTATAAACGCTATCTGACTAACATTCAAAGGCTCCTAAACCGCGCGGACGTGAATGCGTCTGACTGTTCTGATTGGCTAAGGTAGACGTCTCACGTCAGCACGTTCTAGACGTGCACGCGCTCTTTCCGGCAATCTTCCTTCTCACAATGAGCAGCATTCCAGCAAATTACCGGTAATGTTCCAACTTCTCTTGCCGGAAAATAGCCAGAACGAATGTATCGGTATTTTCAAAAAGGGCTTCAGCGGCTTCGTCACATTACAGGACTACACAATAATATTATGTTATATACAGAGTAGCCTAGGTAGATCTACAATTACATCCCTGAAAGACGTCCGACGATGGACGATGGAGACAGCGCCACCCCTCAAAAAAAAAAAAAAAGATGGATTTACGCAAATTACAGGCGTCGCCCGATTGAGCACGGAAAATACGTAGTTACATGGAAGAATCATATCCTTGCTTTATAAAAGTGCCTAACAGGACCCCAAGACCACCTATTCTGCCTCTTTTTACAAGATGTAAAGTAAGTCTCTGATGTCCCTCGAGTGTTTATGTGAAGTTTCAGCTCAAAATACCACCCCTAATAATGTTTTATTTCTCTCTATATATTTCTCTCTATATATATATTTCTCTTTATTTCTCGAAGTGAATTGTGGCATTTCGGTGACTGTCGCTTTAAATTCAAATGAGAGTTTGCTCTTTTCAAAAGAAGGCGGAGCTATGCGGCAGATTCAGAACTCTAATGTCGGACGGCTGCTTCTCACTCGGGGCGGTCTATGCTAATAAGAGAGAAATGGTCACTAGTGGGCGGGGCTTTCCCCCTCTGATGATGCGTACAAAGGGAGAACGTCAATCAAAGTGTTTCTGCAGACGGTCTGATTATAAACAATAGAATTAATTAATGTTTTTCATTATATGCTGGTTATATTCACACACTTTTTCCACACGACTGTGTTTAAACCTCTTATACAAGTGATTTTGGCATAATAGGCCCCCTTTAAATAGTCAATAAACCTAAAAAGCCAAATAATCACTTAAATTAGGTCGCACCGTTCCTGCAGGCCGGCGACAGGCTTCATCCTGAATGGAGAATGCGTGCAGGAGACACTGGGTTTCAGTTCAGCTGCTGGGGGGCCAGACGGGCACTGGGGCTCTGACGTGGTCCCGCTGGAGGGGGTCTGATGGATGCTAATGTTGCAGGATGGGGCGTTGGTGCTGCTGGGAAAATAGGTGGCACTGGGTTTGGATGTCCGGCTGGCCTGGACCATGCTGTTCTTGAGGGTCAGAGGGGGCTGTGCGCCGTGAACAGGAACTGGTGCCAGATGGACGTCCCGGCTGGGCGGGGACGGGTCCTTCAGCTGCTGATCCAAGACTTCCTTCTCCTTCAGTCGGTAAAGCACCTGAGGAACAGAAATATTACAGCGCTGGTCATGAGTTAAATCTCATGATAGGACTCAAGATTTGAGATTCTTCCTTGTTAATGGAGAATTGGTGGATTTACTCTCCTCTGTTCAAGTAGTAAAGGGATAGCTCAACCGTAAATCAATATTCACTCCCTTTTTACTTTTCCTCAGACTGAATTTTCAGCATGGGATGAACAGTCTCTAAAGGTTTATAATTATGTAGGTCATTTTAAGGTTGACTTAATTTTTTGAAGTCCACAAGTTTGTTTACAGTGTATTTACACTTAACAGAAGCTCAGATTTAGGTTTTGAATGCATCTGCACATGAGCTAAAAATAAAGATTAACTAAAGAGAAAGTGTTTCGTTGTTCACAAATATGATTAGATCAACTGACAGATCTAAAAATCAACCTAACAGTTACAACTTATATCAGATTTACTCACTGTTTTTAAAGTAAAGTTTATATGATGTGCATTTATCCCACTTCAGACGTGTAGGTTTCTTCAGTAGTGGAAAGACACTGATTTCATTTGAAAACAACCTTGTTTTGTTATTCATTCATTCATTTTCTTTTCGGCTTAGTTCCTTTATTAATCGGGGGTCCCACAGCAGAATGAACCACCAATTTATCCAGAATATGTTTTGCGCATCGGCTGCCCTTCCAGCTCCAATATATCACTGGGAAACACCCGTACCATCTTGCATACACCCAGGGAAACACACACGAACACAGGGAGAACATACAAACTCAACACAGCATTGGCAACCGACCAAGTCAGTACTCGAACCAGTGACCTTCTTGCTTTGAGGTGATGGCGCTACCCACTGCACCACTGTGTCGCCCTTGTTTTGTTATATTTATATTCATTCATTCATTTTCTGTCGACTTAGTCCCTTTATTAATCCGGGGTCGCCACAGCGGAATGAACCACCAACTTATCCAGCAAGTATTTACGCAGCGGATGCCTTTCCAGCTGCAACCTATCTCCGGGAAACATCCACACACACACACACATACACTACGGACTATATAGCCTACCCAATTGACCTGTACCGCATGTCTTTGGACTGTGGGGGAAACCAGAGCACCCGTAGAAAACCCACGCGAACGCAGGGAGAACATGCAAACTCCAAACAGAAGTTCGAGGTTCGAACCAGTGACCTTCTTGCTGTGAGGTGACAGCACTACCTACTGCACCACTGCTTCGCCCTATATTTATATAGTTATGTTATATCATATTGTAAATATTATATTACATGCCTTTGTCCAAAGTCACTTACAATTAAGGAAGCATTCAGTGATTCAAGAGAGAAGAGATGTTTTACAGGTGGTTTGTCAAGCCCACTCACCTTTGTGAGGCACATTTCATCAATGCACAATGATTTATTAATGTTTTTGAGATATGGAGTGATTGTACGAAAGTGTTTGGTGCAAATATGCAAAACAAGTGTCAGAGAGATGAAAGAGTGTGTTTTCTACGGCTGGTTTGTGAAGCCTACTCACAGCCGTTGGCGTGAAGCTCTAAATTGAGCTCAGGTACATTCTGTTTCCTCTGATCATTCCTGAAATGTTTCAGCAGCTTCATTGGAGTTCACCTGTGGTCAATTCAGTTGATTGGACATGATTTGAAAAGGCGTACACCTGTCTATATAAGCTCCCAGCGTTGACAGTGCATGTCAAAGCACAAACCAAGCATGAAGGCAAAGGAATTGTCTCTCGGCACACGGCTGGGGAAGGTTACAGAAAAATTTCTGCTGCTCTGAAAGTTCTAATGAGCATAGCGGCCTCCATCATCCGTAAGTGGAAGATGTTTAAAACACCAGAACTTAGAAGGCCGGCCATTTAAGCTATCGGTTGAGAAGGGCCTTAGTCAGGGAGTTGATCAATAACCCAATGGTCACTCAGTCTGAGCTCCAGCGTTCTTCTGGGGAGAGAGGAGAACCTTACAGAAGGACAACCATCTGTGCAGCAATACACCAATCAGGCCTGTATGGTTGAGGTGCAAGACGGAAGACACTCCCTGCTTGGAATTTGCCAAAAGGCATCTGAAGGACTCTCAGACCATAAGAAACTAAATTCTCTGGCAGTGGCGTAGCGGACAGGCCCCGCGTGATTAGGGGGCCCTGCGTCGTCGCAATTTTTAATAATTGTAAATCCGGCGACCGCAATAATCAAACTCTTGGAAACAACTGAGGTCGGAACCAAAGTTCACAGGTCTGTGTTCTCTGAACTCCTCTTAAGCAGTGGACGTCTTCATTCTGATTGCTTGCCGCCGAACTGCGTCATAGCTCATGCCATAAAGTTGACTTGATATCAACTCTAATCAACGCCTACACCGGAGAAGACGCGCCGCGCTGTTTCTCGCCACCGGTTCTTATTGAAATGAATGACTTCTAGCTACTTTGACGCTCTCGCTGCTTTCGGTTTGTGATCGCTTCTCAGTTTGTGAAGGCTTCCCCACGTTGTCGTTCCACCCCGCCCCCTTTCCCGCTCCTTAGTTTGTGATAGCTCCTCATTTTGTGATCGCTCCTCAGTTTGTGAAGGCTTCCCCGCATTGTTGCCCCCCCAACCCCCTCACCCCACCCCTATCATCAGGGAGCCCCGTCAGTGATCCCTGCAGGGGGGCCTCCACCTTTTGCGCTACGCCACTGTTCTCTGGTCCTGATGAGACTAACATTGAACTCTTTGGAGTGAATGCCAGACGTTACGTTTGGAGAAAACCAGGCACCACTCATCACCAGGCTAATAGCATCCCTACAGTGAAGCATGGTGGTGGCAGCATCATGCTGAGGGGATGTCTTTCAGCAGCTGGATCTGGAGGACTAGTCAAGATAGAGGGAAAGATGAATGCAGCAATGTACAGAGACATCCTGAATGAAGACCTGCTTCAGAGAGCTCCTGAGCTCAGACTGGGGCGACAGTTCATCTTCCAGCAGGACAATGACCCAAAGCACACCGCCAAAATATCAATAGAGTGGCTTCACAACATCTCGGTGAATGTCCTTGATTGGCCCAGCCAGAGTCCAGACCTAAATCCTATCGAGCATCTCTGGAGAAATCTGAAAATGGCTGTACACCGTTGCTTCCCATCCAACCTGATAGAGATTAAGAGGAACTGCAAAGAGGAAATTCACAAAGACAGGTGTGTCAAGCTTGTGGTAAAAAGACTTGAGGCTGTAATCGCTGCCGAAGGTGCATCAACAAAGTATTGAGCAAAGGCTCCATTTTGAAAAAAAGGCTGTAACATTAACAAATGTGGAAAAAGTGTACTTTCCAGATGCACCGTACAACATTTGATAAGATATTTGTTAGGGATGCACCGATATGGATTTTTTGGCCGATACCGATAACCGATAATTCTTAAGACTTGGAGTGCCGATAGCCGATATATATATAGGCCGATAATTATAAATAATTCAAAATGTTTTATTTTTATACAGCAAACTTCGTAAAAGCTGAAACTCCGCTCTTTTGAACTGAATAGATTATATAGAGCAGGGGTGTCAAACTCAATCCCTGGAGGGCCGAAGCCCTGCACAGTTTAGTTTCAACCCTGCTCCAACACACTTACCTGTAGGTTTTTAAACAAGCCTGAAGGACTCAATTAGTTTGATCAGGTGTGTTTAATTAGGGTTGGAACTAAACTGTGCAGAGCTGCGGCCCTTTTGGAACTGAGTTTGAGACCTGTGATATAGACCTGTATTCATGATTTCACACAAAGCAGCATGCAAAAAATACATTATTTCCTTTTCTTCGTAGCAAATTAACATGCAAATTGACTGTTGCATAAAATGTAGAAGGTTAAATAACAAAATGGGATTTAATCAACAAGCAAGTTAAATATATTTTAAACAAAATGAAAATGAAAGAGCTAAAGACTAAAACCAGCTCAAATGTTCTTGAATAAAACGTGTTACAGTAATGTACATGTGTACAAATATGTCTTGTCTGAAAAAGCCTTTTTTAGAGGTGTTTTGACAGTTCAGAGCCACAGTGCAAGTGATAAGCTAGATACAGAATGTATTATTTAAGAAAATGCGACATAAATTCATCGTATTTGGCGTTTTAGATTCTTTTGAACACATAGCATCAACGCTTCTGTGTTCGTTCTTGCTGTCAATCGCGGGGGAAATTATCGATGAAAAGTTTATGATAAACCGCTGTGAGGGCGCAGATTTGCCCTCGGATTTTGATACAAACCTGATCATTTGAGCTCAGATGACTTTATGACAAACACAGAGCAGAATATAAAGACAGAACGTGTGGCCCGTATGCTGGATTCAGTGACCGGTGCACCCAGGCTCTCCCCTGTTGATCTGTGAAGGCTCAAGATCTATGTGTATGTGAAGGCTTTCAGATCTGTGTGTGTGTGTGTGTGTGTGTGTGTGTGTGTGTGTGTGTGTGTGTGTGTGTGTGTGTGTGTGTGTGCGCGGTGAAAGCTCTCACTCGCGCTTGTTATAATCCATATGAATATTCCGATCAAACGGAATACAATCTTACATCAACAACACATGGGAACCAACTCGTTGATAATAACAAACAATTATATTAGATTGAAAAACCTTCTGTAAAGTTTTTGTTTAGCGTGTGCTGTCAGTTTGGTGTGTGTGTATGTGTGTGTGTGTGTGTGTGTGAGTGAAGCGAAGAGGGAGAGACAGAAAAGAGGTGCGCTTTTTTCGCAATGAGACCAAATTACACGGGTCTTCGTTCATTCCCCGGCTGCAACTAAAAGAGTTTACCCCGAAACTAATGTTATTCGGCCCTGGAGTAATAAGTAAATCTCCCTGCTATCTCTAACGCAACAAAGAGACAGAGCAGGAAAGGCTTTCATATGTAATATTTTTTCCTGAGGCGATTTGAAGCAAAATACACAATGGCACTCAATCAAACATATCTACAATGATAAGGATAATGGTTACTTACTGAGTTATTAACGCACAGCAATACCACGTGAAGAAATGACAGACTTTGAAGGAATAATCAGTGTGTGGAGAGATCCATGAACAAGTCTGAACATGTTCCGCCCATGCGTGCGCGGCAACAATTACGTAATTTATCGGCTTATAGATATCGGACTAATTTAGACATCGGATCGATAACGATAATCTTAAAAATAGCATTTATCGGCCGATAACGATATGGCCTCCGATATATCGTGCATCCCTAATATTTGTACTGTTTTAGTGTATAAAAGCCTAACTAAGGCCTAAATTGCTCTTTGGCTAAAAGTCTATATGTGAAACATGGTCTGCTTTAAACTATAGCAATGTTATATTGCATTGACCCTGTTAAAAAAACCTTCTAATAAATAAATACATATGATACTGCTCATTCACACACAAATTAAACTAAAACTAACAAAATCACCAATGAAACTAACAAAGAGGAAGACTTCAGAGCAATACTGAAGGGCAAATGAATCTCGAATAAGCTTGATCTGACAAGAGTCTGAAGTGTAGGTTCAGTCTCAGTGTGCTGCTTTTGGCTGACAGGGGTGGACGGTGGCTCTTCCGCTGAGTTTCTGATGTCTTTCTCTCAGCTATTTGTGTCAACAGTTA